CTTACAAATCAATTAATTATATTTACCAATAATAATAAACCAAATAATTTCCCCCATATATTCCTCCAAACCACAACTTAACCATTTCTGCTTTCAACACAATATACAATTAATAGTATCTCAATTATTACAATTCCCTAGTTAAATAGAGCTTTTTTTCTTTTGTGTTTTAAAATCTTGAACTCTCCTCTTTTGCCCTAAATTTCCCATTGTTTGCAGTTTTGCACCTACCTTTTTTGGTGAGGAAAAAGAAATCTCTCTCTGCCTCATTTTGTCACGCTGCTTTACTTTCACTTTCGCTTTTCAGCATAGCTAGGGGGAAAAAAAATCTGCTCCAGGAACTCTTTGCAGCTAGCAACACAACAGAGCTCTGCACAAAACAGCTGAGAGCAAATCAGCTGAGAGCAGGGAAGCCGAGCTAATCAACTTGTGCTAATTAACCTATGCGGAAGCTGTAAGGGGCTGTTTTTTCTATTTTTTCAGGCATAGGTCTGCTCATTTGTTTTCTTTTAACACTGATCACCTGTAGGGCGGCCCTTTGAAGCCCCGCGGCAAGAGTTTAAACAGTCTTTTTTCCCTCTAGCCATCAGCTGGGACTCAGGAGGCAGCCGGAACTCAGGAGGCAGAATGAAAAATCGGGACTTTTTTAAAACGCGACACGGGACAAATTGCTAAAAATCGGGACTGTCCCGCCAAAAGCTGGACATCTGGTCACCTTAGCATATGGACTACTTAGAGGGCTGAAAAAGTTATTTTTGACTGGTCCTCGCACTTTTGACCAGTCCTCGAACTTACGACTGTCCTCACAATTTATGTTTTTGCCCTATCTTGTCACCATGGTGAAGAGAAGCAGTTGTGAAATGAGTGACACGGTTGTTAAGAATGGTACAATGGGCATAAATGATAACCAGTCATAACTGCGAAGACCGGTCAAAAGTGCGAGGACCTGTCAGAGGTCACATTTTTCAGCCCTCTGGGTAGTCCTTTTGTGCACAGGGACTACTCAGAAGGCTGAAAAAGTTATTTCTGACTGGTCCTCGCACTTTTGACCAGTCCTCGAACTTACGACTGTCCTCACAATTTACGTTTTTGCCCTATCTTGTCACCATGGTGAAGAGAAGCAGTTGTGAAATGAGTGACACGGTTGTTAAGAATGCTGCACAGGCATAAATGTGAGGATGGTCATAAGTGTGAGGACCAATCAAAAGTCCGAGGACCTGTCAGAAATGACTTTTTTCAACCCTCTGGGTAGTCCCTATACACATAGCCATGGCCACCCAGTCACATGACCTCTAAGCCACGCCCACAAAATAAGCCATGCCCACAGAACCGGTAGTAAAAAAGTTTAGACCCGACCCCTGGTTGGGGGTCACCACAACATGAGGAACTGTATTAAAGGGTCGCGGCATTAGGAAGGTTGAGAACCACTGCACTAATCACTGCGGAACCTATTAAAATCTCAGCAGTGCATAGTGCTAGAGCATGGACTATATATCCTGTCCTGGTTGACCTTCTTTTGCTCTGTGCCCCAGATAGGTTCTTTTGAACCTGTTAGTCATAGTACGCATGCCAATATTTTCATACACCTGAGCAGGATTTTCAGGATTTTAAAACGATCCCAGCACCGCACTGAAAACGTTTCCATGTTTGTAAATAGAAATGAATTGTCTCTAGGGAGAAATGAAAATTGTTGTCCACTTCTCTTTCCCCCGATCAGAATTGGTTGACATGTAAACTTTCAAGAAAATATATTTTTAAAGAAGAAAATAGGTAAGAACAGCAACTACTTCTATACAGCCACACAGAAATGTTCTTAATACTCTGGGAAGAAAGGCTGAGACCACAGAACCTGGATACATTTGAAAATGATAAAACTGAATGGATCTTGAAATCTTAAATTCTGTTATTAAATATTTTTCTTTTAAAAGATCCTGCTTGTATACCTGCAGATCCTGCTTGTATACCTGCTTTAAACAGAATAAGGAAGGGCAATTACATTGCTGCTGAAGTTGAAACCATACCCACATAAAGCCAATGGGAATTAATATGGGGAGAAAGTTGTACAACTAGTTCATAACATCATTCTTATTCAATTGAAAAATTGAGGAAAAAAGGGAGAGAATGTTGGTATGATGACCACATGATGACAATACCACCTAGAACTCTAACCAATGAAGACAGGAATGTCCATCCACAAGAGTGCCAGGCTTTGTACAGCCACTGTGGGGCCCATTCTCTTTGCTAGTGTCCCTTATACCAGCAGGCCAGCATTCCTAGCAGTTCAGCAGCAATTTGATTATTGCTGAACAGGAATCATCTCAAGTATTGCTGGTACCAAAGCCTCTTTCTTCCTCTGAAATACCTCAACATGGGACAAGCTGCACTGGGCTTCAGGATCCCAGAAAAACAGGCAGGTAAGAGTGTCCGTCCCTCACCCCTTATTCAGCTTGCTAAGTGATATGTGCAATTTAGGGTGAAAAGTTGCCCACCCTTTGTCTAGAAACAATCCCCCTTATCAATCCTATCCTGGGGCAGGAGAAACATTATTATGAGAATTTCAACGATTACTAGAAGAAAATTGGTTCTAAGATCTTTGTAAATAGCTCTTGGCTGTTAGAAACAAAATAAACGAAACCATCGCATATATGCCAAATTAGTCATTTAGCACCATTTTACTTTGACAGCAGACTTCTGAAGAGCTGTTGTACAGAACAGGAAGCCAGGCCTTGATGGCTGTCTGTGAAAACACCTGGAATCAGATGAAGGCGGGTGTAATGAGTACCCAAGAATATTCACATTAATGTGGAAGACTGATGAGGGCTAGGTCTGCGGAGGAGCGAGCGGGAGAGGCAGCTTTGAATGGCAGGAAATGTCTTCACTTCCTGCTTCTCCTGGAGCCACTGCTCAGGAAAATATTACTCAGAACCATTAGGCCACTTCACACAGAGCAATAGAGTTGTTTCGCGCTCATTGCTTCCTGCTCTGTCCTGGAATTGACTTTCCTGGAGCAAAGGCTTTACCAGAGCCTTTGCAATCATAGAAATCCAAACCTGAATCAGCTAATCCAGACGGGGTGTGGGGAGGACACCCCACTCTGACAAACAGCAGCACCAGAGGATGGCTGCAAAAAAAAAAATGTTCCAGGAACTTTTGCAGGCAAAGAAACCAGGGGGTTGATGCAAAGTTTAGAAAAGTGAACACTATAACTTTATGGACATGCAGGTCTGATAACATGTTAATGTGAGGCAACAATCTCTACAGATAAGCACACACGCCTACAAAGAGCAAACCCTACCAGTCTTGGCGCCACCCAGCCTTCTAAACTCAGTTTTCCTTGTGGAGCTATATTCTCCCACATAAACTGCCTCCATCTCCAGCCATGGATAGCACCTCTGAGGCTATGAAGAGGGTCTTATTTTTTTGTTTATTATTAGATTGTTATCCCATCTTTATTACTTGATAAGTAACTCAATCAAGGTGGCAAACATACCTAATACTCCTTCTTCCTCCAACAACAGCCCTGTAAAATGGGTTGGGCTGAGAGAGAGTGACTGGCCCAAGGTCACCCAACCAGATTTCATGCCTAAGGCAGCACTAGAAGTCACTGTCTTCTGGTCACTGGGCCAATACCTTAATCACTACAGCAAACTTTTCCAGCCCTGAACAAGGAGCCACAGATTTCTGCTAACAGTAATTGGAGTTCCCAGCATGGATCCCATGCTGAGATGAATCAGAGAGGTGAGGCAAGGGAGGTTCCCTCCTCAATAGCTTATGCTGTAACAACAAATATGTTTTTAAATGTATTTTTGTTCTCCTTTTATTGTTGGAAGGGCAAGAGATCATTTTAGCAGAAGTAAATAATCAGTCTCGTTAAACCTTAGGCTGGAAGTTTATTGGAACACAGTCTGGTTTTTTTGGCTTTCTAATCATACTGTGGCTATGATGTGGGTGACCCTCCCAAGGCAAACCAAATTTGTAGATTCTGCAAAAGCCACCCCATTTGGCTGAGGTGTGCTGGCCGTTATGCAGCGCAGCCCCAAATCCTGCCCCTGCCCCTAGTGGCATTTCCCACAGATGCACAATAGTTTCTTCTTGGTATATCCCATACTCTCACCTAGAAGCAGCGGCCCACATCTGCACATGGCACCCAGGCACACGGCAGTATGTCTGCCTTTGACCACGCGTGCACAAGCAGGCACACAGAAAGAGAGAGAAGCAATCTGGGGGCCTGCATGGGCTGCCTCCTGGGTCCAATGGCAGGAAGCACCTGGCCTGTCTGACGGAAGCAGCCGGCTCTATCTGCTTCCTACTCTTCCTGTTGTATTGGGGGTTGGGGAGAAAGGCTAGTGCAGGGAGGATGGGCAGCTTAGGCTCTCTGTCCAAACAGGATATGTGCAGAAGTGACCACTTACAGGTGGCTAGATTTCCCTGACTCCACTGACTCTTGCTTGATTTTAAAGTATGGCAAACTTCAAGAGATAAATCTTCCTCTCTGGCACCAATGCCTCTCAGGAATTATGACAGAGCTGGGCACATTCCTAGGGAGACACTTCATTGCCATTCCTCTATCTAAGCTCTAAGGCTAGAGTCACACTGGAGTACTGTGACAATCTGTAATTGTTGGCACATGACAGGCAGCACAGTCCACACTCGGCTGTGTTCAGAATCAGAGTTTGTCTCCTCCCTGTGGGGGGGGGAGGCTAGACTGTCCTTTTGCCCTGGAGAACCAGAGGTGTGACAGCTGTCCCATTGGCTTGTCAGATTTTCAAGCATGCCCAGATTCAAACCATCATTCCTTGGTCCTTGGCTATAGTTCTTTTACAGCTCAGGCAACACTAGGCTGAGTCACAGAAGTATAAAAGAGGGGCAGGTTTTTAAAATAAGAGTTGCACATGAATCAGCTTCTGAGAAATGCTTAGACTCAAGAGGTGGCATTTCTCTATCATCTATTGTCAACGGTTCTACTAACAAATCCAAAAGAAATAGATACCCTTGGGATCTTTGAATTCCCAAAAGTATAACTTTATTGAATACATCATCTGGGAACTGCAGAAGCAAAACCAGCTCTGGTTTTCCCACCGAAATGCTCGTTTAGTTAAACAATAGATTCCTTTTCTCCCCATCCCTGGGTGTTCACATGGTCCAAGTATAAATCTTCCTTTTGTTATGGGATCAGTCCATGTCTCCGTCTAACACCTGCAGTAGTGACCTTGGTGAGGTTCAGGCTCTCACAGTCCTAGATGAAATCTTAGTATTCCATTTCCCCTCTCCCTCCTCCTGTTTGAATGGCAAGTTGAAGACTGATAGAAGCTCAGAAGAAGTAAAGCGATTCAATCTTGACATGCCGACCCCTTGGAGGAAGAGTAGACCGAGAAGAATATCAAACATAGATTAACATTGTTACTCACAAATCTTTAGCTCTCTTCTGACTACTTCTTCTGCCCTGACATTATGGGCAGCAACCTACTCAGCATCGGCTGAGAGATAATCTTTCCACTGCACTAAGTATATGCAGTGTACATACTTAGTGCAGTGTACAAATATTGTACTCAAGACACTAAAATGTCTTGAGTACAATATTTTTTTGATTTCATATTGTTCCTAACCTCCCACTATAACAGGAGGTGGCAGCTCTCTTTCAACTTGCCTTAACTTAAAGCCTTGAAAGGGTTTTAATAAACTACAGTGGAACACTGGATGGATTCAATAAAGCACCTTTGGCAACTATAATTCCACCATGGTCGGGTTTATGATCTGAACGATTGGGAAAGGCCCTATACTGGGTTGTTGGTTTGAGCTCCGAGCTTGGTAATTTGGTTGCAAATGTTTCATCAACATTCAAGGAGACATTGTCAGTGCACTTTGAATTGTACCTTTTCATGTGATGCAGATTAGTGTGGATGTTTGTTTTATGTAATCTGCATCACATAAAAAGATATTTAAAGGCCAGTGCTCGGATAGATGAACCCAATTCAAAATGCACTGACAATGTCTCCTCGAATGGTGACAAAATGTTTGCAACTCCGAGCTTGGCCCAATTATCAACCCGAGCTACTTATATTTAAATACATTTCAAGGCCTATGTACTTGGGACCCAGCTTCTTACAAGGTTGCCTCAACTTTAAGTATTTCATAGGTAGGTATACTTTATCCCAACTCTAAATTCTTTCTGAGGTACTCTTCTCTGATCGGCTTATTTCTTTTGCATCTCTCTGGCCTATTCAGTGCCTTTTGCACATTTCCCCAGGCAGGTTTTAGGGTGCCCATCCATTCAGCTAGTGTTACTGAAGAAGGAGACTCCCTCAGAAATTCTGGCATTGGTACGAACTTAACTCCTGTGGCTGCATTAAATGGGGTGAACCCAGTGCTACTATGTACCAAAATATTATAAGACACTTCTGCGAAAGGCAGGAGTTCCGCTCAGTTGGTCTGCTAGTAATTCACATAGCAATGTAAATATTGTTCTACTATTCCATTAGTTCTCTCCTCCTCCCCCGTCCCCCGTTAGTGCTCGGATGGAACCCCGAGCTAAGCCCTTGGGAGGAACCTATTCACTTAGTGAACTCCTGCCAGAACTTCACAGTGAACTGTGCCCCCCCCCAGTCTAAAATGATGCATTTTGGAACTCCATGCAGCCGATAAACATGTTGCACAAACATCTTGGCCAGACTTCAGGCTGAAGGAAGTTTTGGATACACAATGAAATGCGCTTGCTTCGAAAACAGGTTGACCACTGTCCAAATTACAGTATTCCTGGTGCTCTCAGACAATTCCACAATAAAGTCCATGGCGAGCTCTTCCCATGGCTGGTTAGGGTTGGCCACCAGCTGCAGCAGCCTAAGAGTCTTTCCTGGTAAGCTTTTCATGAATATGCACAGTGGGCAGCTTGCTACATAGCTTTCAATGTGTTTCTTCATGTTGGCCACTAGAATTGCCTCCTAACCAAGTGAAGGGTTTTTATAAACCTGAAGTGGCCTGCCAGCTTCACATCGTGGCTTCTTTGTGTAGGATCAGGGTTCTCTGGTTGGCTGGGACATACAGTTTTTCCCCCTTCCAAGCCAGGCCTTCTCTCATCGTCAATTCTTTCTTATGATCTCTGAACCACTCATCTTCCTCCAGGGCTTCCCTCAGCTGCCATTTCAGAGCATCATCAGTCGGCTGAGGAGCAGCTAGCAGCTGTCGCTTTGCTGAGACCTGTGCCGCCAGTTGCCAGGAGGGGATGATGGAGTTAACGATTTCCTCCCAGGTGCTCATATATTGGGGCATTTGTGAGAGCGCATCTGCAAGGAAATTCTTCCTCCCTGGCAAATACCGAAGAATGAAATTGAACTGATTAAAGTACTGAGCCCATCGTACTTGTTTGGGGGAAGTTTCCTCGGGGCTTTCAGGGCCTCCAAGTTCTTCTGGTCTGTCCACACTTCGAAGGGGATTTTGCTGCCTTCCAGAAACTGCCTACAGGTCATCAGCACCCATCTAACAGCATAGGTCTCTTTTTCCCATATCGCCCAATGCCTTTCAGCGTCAATCAGTTTTTGGGAAGTGTAGGTGCAGGGCTGGAGTGCTCCCTTCTCATTTCTTTGGAGCAGGACGGCCTGCACCACATTTTGGAAAGCTGATCCTCTTAGATCCTTCCTCAATTGTCCTACTGTGACAAATTCATGACACTAAGAACAAAGAACCAGCAGAGTTATCCATTAGAGCAGAAAGAAGTAAAGACCTAGAAAAATACACTTGAGTCTATTTGAGAACTTATTCTCTGGCAACAAGAACAGACCAGAAATTATCTAGAACAGATGTGTCCAATGAGGAGCCCCCAGGCCACATGCAGCCCAGGACGGGTAGTAAAGCAGCCCCCACAAGGTTGTAAATTTTTATCATTATGAGATTTATATACATTAACTGTTTTATATTTTATATGCAGCCCAAGACAATTTCTCTTCATTAAGTTCAGCCCAGGCAAGCCAAAAGGTTTGACAGCCATGATCTAGAAGGATATGAAATAAGCCACAGCTAGCTGTAACCACAGTGAGACTGGCTTGCTTAAATATTGTATATTTAATCCATATTAAATATAAATATACTTAACATTCTAAAATACATCTAATGTTTGTCAGGGAAGTTAGTGAGAGAGGATCCTCTCTGCATATGTTTCCTGATGATGTCAAGATGAGATAGACTCAAAATGAACATTCAGAGAAGAAACTGGATGTTTAAAACAAAGTTCATACCTGTTGTTATAGTCCTACGGTTCCTTCTCTGTATCAAAGTTGCCCTGTCTTTGTTTCCCAAACAGGCACTTGGTTCTCATGACATAAGTAGATTAATGCACTCAGGAGATAATTTGTCAGGCTGGATCATTATGATAAAAACTGAAACTAATTCATTAAAAGGAGCACAGCTCAGTGGTTAGTCCTGCCCTGCATGTTCAGTCCTGATAGAGTTGGAAAAAATGCTTACTTAAGAACCCATCTGGCCAAGATTCACACAATACAATAAAGTATGTTCTGCTTAATTGTGGATGTAAAAGAAACCACAATTGTCTAGGTTCAAATACTACAAATCATGCTTTGCAGAGCCAAACATTTAATTCATACAACATGCCAAGTCAAAAATTAAACAAACTATGTGTTGGCTTAATGTGGTGCATAGATCCAGCCAGTTAAATCATAAAGCCAGTTAATAACACATTATGATATTAAGGGCTATGGAATTAGATAATCCAACCACCTCTCAGTGTGTAAGATAGCTTCCCTCTGTTTCTTAGGATGGAGAGCTAGAGAGGCCAGCTCTGCAAAATGCGATGCCTGCTGTGGAATGGCTGGTGCTCCAAAGACTGTCCACAGCCCAGCCCTGTGCCATCATAGACTTGTGTTTCCAGCTGTAACTGTAGTCCTGGCATCTTTCAAATCAAGCATCTGGTGTACGTCGGATATTGGCAAGTTTGCATTCAAATTTTAATGATAAGCCTTCAATTTACTGCCAGCAAACTTCTGGTTTTTAATCTTTTTTTAAGGAGGCAACATTTTAGCATTTGACTTGCAAATATCACATCTTCCCAGGAAATATAGGTGTCTGAAATCTTTTTTGTTGATTGAATGGTTAGTGGTTGCAGAGAAATAGCTTTGGAATAATAGGCACTAAAACCTGCTAAACAAATTCTAAAATAAGTTTTAAAATAAAACAACTGTAGCCATTTCTAGGTTGCTCAGCCTGTCACAGGCATTGGACACATCTTGACTTGACATCTAGAGGCCACTTTAGGTGGAACTTGCTTTGCAGTCTCAATAGGTACAAAATATAATCAGGAGCTTATTTTGACTGTATTAAAAGATACAGATTGCTATTTCTTTTTTGGGCATAATTTAAGATTTTAATATATAAAGGCCTAATTGCAGGAGTGAAATCCTATTAGTTCGGACCAGTTCGGGCGAACCACTAGGGATTATGGGCATCAATTTGCCAAACTGGTAGTAATTACCCCTCCTTGGCCCCACCCACACCCATCCGGTTGCTGCTCACCTCTTCTGGCCATTTGATATTCCACAGAATTCAATGTTAAATGCAGCAAAGAGAATGCTAACTTTTCTCCCTCCATTCAGAACGGAGCTGCTGCAGCCTGTCTCTTTTCAGGGGGACGGGGAGGGAGCAGCTGAAATGGAGCCATTTTTGTGAAAGGCAGGAAAATGGGGAAGGGGATTTTCCTGCCTGTCATCCATTCCTCAATCTCAGCACAGACTGAGGGAAGGATGATAGGCAGGAATATTCCCCTCCCCATTTTCTTGCCATTCCCAACAAGGAGTGGCTGGGAGGGGAGGGGCCAATGAGGAGCCCCTCGATGTGAGTGATGTTGAGTTGGCCACGCCCACCCAGTCACATGACCTTCCCCAACAAGCCACGCCCACACAACCAGTAGGGGAAATTTTTTAATTTCACCCCTGCCTAATTGGCTTAAGCCCTCACCTTTCATATTTGAAGGGGACTGGACATCCAGTTTAGCAGATAAGGCCCTCTGTGTTTGTTCCCAAATTCTGGAATGCACTTCTTTGAGCATTGCAGCCTTCAATCTTTTCACTTTTGGGAAGGGAGTCAAGGAGTTTAAGTTTGGTTTAATTATGATTTTTCTGGTGATCCAGTCAAGATCCAAGCAAGACTGGAGGCTAAAACATATGGCAAACGGTTGCAGGAACTGGGCATGGCTAGTCTAGTGAAGAGAAGGACCAGGGGAGACATGATAGCAGTCTTCCAATATTTGGCTGTCACAGAGAGGAGGAGGTCAAGCTATTTTCCAAGGTACCTGAAGGCCAGACAAGGAATAATGGATAGAAACTGAACAAGGAGAGATTCAACCTAGAAATAAGGAGAAATTTTCTGACAGTGAGAACAATCAACCAATGGAACAGAAGTTGCCTTCAGAAGTTGTGGGAGCTTCATCACTGGAGGCTTTCAGGAAGAGATTGGACTGCCATTTGTCAGAAGTGGTGTAGGGTCTCCTGCTTGGGTGGGGTTGGGCTAGATGACCTACAAGGTCCCTTCCAACTCTGTTAATCTATTAATCCAGGGATGTCAAATTTAAGGCCCGCGGGCTAGATCCAGCCCATAGGGTGTTTAGATCTGGCCCACGGAGCTGCCCTAGAAACAGCAAGGGACTGTCCTGTTGGTGGCCCTCCCAAGTTCTGTTTCCACTGGCAGGGGTTGCAGGAGGCCATCACAACTGAAAATGGAGTTCGAAAGGGCCACACGCAGCCCTCTCAAGTTCCATTTTCACTGGCAGAGGGTTGCAGGAGGCCATTGCAGCCAAAAACGGAGCTCGGGCGGGCTGCAGGAGGCCCTCCCAAGCTCCGTTTTCACTGGCAGAGGGTTGCAGGAGGCCGTCGCAGCCGAAATAGAGCTTGGGAGTCTATTTTCTCTGGCAGAGCGCTCAGGTCACCACAGGTGCCCCCGACACAAGTGACATCGAGCTGGCTATGCTCACCCTGGCCATGCGCACCCCGGCTCCCCAAGGTCAAACACAACCCTGATGCAGCCCTCAATGAAATCGAGTTTGACACCCCTGTATTAATCTGTTAAAATCCATCTGCAGAAGCAATTTGTTCATTGTGCCTCTTAACTTATTGACCACTAGAGGGAGCAGAGCTACCAAGCCAGAGTTACCTTTGCTTCTGCTCTGCTTTTTCAGCCTGTTTTCTAGGTATTTTTGTTTTCTATTTCCCCCCACCCCACCATGAGGACCAAGTGCATAGATTTAGGCATTCTGTCAGATACAAATAGTCTACAACTAATGGCCACAACCGGATCCAGAATTTCTGTTGCTAAGCAAGGCTGTTAAATGAATCATGATTTTACAATCTTTTTTGCCGTGCTTAAGTGATTCACAGTAAAGTGAATAATGTGGCCATTAAGCAACACCAGCATCCCCCATTGACTTGGCTTGTTAAAAGTCAGCTGGGAAGGTTGCAAATAGTGATCACATGATCTCAGGACTCATTGCAACCATTGTAAATACTTGCCATTTTTCAAGCACCTGAATTTTGAACATGTGACCTTGGGGATGTCGCAACAGTCCTAAGTGTGAGGACCAGTTGAAGTAAGTTTTTTCATTGTAACTACAAAAGGTCACTAAATAAATGGTTCTCAGTGGAGAACTTTCTGTATTTAGTTTCCTGAATAGATTTTATTTATCCATTTGGACAGTGGTGGGATTCAAATAATTTAACAACCGGTTCTCTGCCCTAATGATTTCTTCCAGCAGCCGGTTCACCAAACTGCTCAGAAAGTTAACAACTGGTTCTCCCGAAGTGGTGCGAACTGGCTGAATCCCATCACTGCATTTGGACCTTAAGCATCTGCCTCTGAATACTGTTATTGGTTTTATTTACACAAGTATTTGGATTCTCTGAACTTGGTTTTTCATCTGCAGATGTTTTATTACCTGTCCTCAGCACTTTGCTTTTGGAGAAGCTTCAATCCGTTCCATAATTAACTAGCAAACCTCACTTAATGAAACATGGCAAATAAAAAAACCAAGATCAGAGAAGTCCTACAATCCCATAGTCAACTTTGAGCTACTCATATTTTCTACAACTCTGCCAAATGTGCCATTAATAAACAAACCTAAGGATCCCAGCGTTATTTTAAAAATGCACCTACAGACTTTAACTGTTTTTATAAGTTCTAGAATGTTTGCCATGATTATCAGTCACTTTGAATGGAATATAATGTTATATTTAAAGTTCTTGGTTGCTGAACTCTATCTGTGGCTCTTAATTCCTTGACTCCCTTCCCAAAAGTGAAAAGACTGAAGGCTGACTGCAATTCTTAAAGGAGTGCGTTCCAAAATTTGGAAACAAACAGTCACATGCAAAAGGGAAGAGAGCAACTTTTCTTTACCAGGTTGAAGTATATAAGGGTCTGTCTGATTCACTTGCATCTGGCCATTGCATCACTGAGCTGTCCCCCAAGGACTGCATTTCTGCAGGGACTTCAAAAGACATCAT